ACAGGAGGTCGGTTTTGGTGAAAACCAAGGTATTCAATGCTACGAATTAATGTGTCGGGATTCGATTCTCGTATTGAATTAAATGCTGTTATTTATAGTAACATTCTGCACGCCTTTTGAGGGGATGCGGCGGCATTTAATGCGAATTGACAACATAGGGGCGGCTATGACGTAAGCATGCGCGTAGGCAATGATAACGACATGGGCAGCCCATCAGTTGATTGACAGGCGTCGCACTTTGTCGGCATGAGGTCAGTTTTATCGGACTTCGGTTTCTTCATGAGTTTACGCTTCTCCCCGGCTCTTTGGTGAGCTCATTATACCGAGGTGTCGTTCCGATGCCAAGGTGACCCTGGGAACAACTCCTTGCGATTCGGAATCTCGGTACTTTGCCTGATCAGTCACTATTAATCTTCCCGAGGAGCTTTTAATGGGCATAATTCGAATCTGGTATCAACAGGTTTTTTCACAACCGATGCAAAAAACACTTTCCACATCAGTTGTGATATTGATTTTTACAAAACTGGTGTGAATTGTCATCTGGCGCATCGGTTCTTACAAAACCGATGTGAATAATTTAGTAGGCAACATTATTTACATCGGTTCTATGTATAACCGATGTAAAAAATATAATATACAACATCGGTTTAGGAAAACCGATGCATGGGCCTGTGCATAGGCATCGATTTCAACACAACTGATGTGTAGGCCGATTTAAATAAGATGCATCGGCCCAGAAAAATCGATGTGAAGGTGGTCCAAAAATCGATGTCCAAAAAGATGGCCCAAAAAGTGATATGCATCAGTTTTATTTAACTGATGTAAAGTTAAGCCACCTCCAAAAAATAAATTGTAAAGCCCTCCCAATCAACACAAAAAAAAACCCTCGTTCACTTCTCAGTCTTCTCTTCATCGTCTCCTTCTCAGCCTCTCCACCGCATCCTCCACAGCTTCACTGCATTAAATCTAGAGTGTGTTCTAGACTGTCTAGTAGTTAGGCTTAACCGAAGATTGTGTCTCAGCTAAGTATACTGTAAGAAAAAATTTGGGTAGCAGAACGTTTTGTTATATAGGCCTAGTAATTTCGAAAGATAGTGAAACTTCATACCCCAATTAGTTAAAATAATCGAGCGAGGGCATATATTGAACCGAGAACTAAAATTTTCTCATATCTTTGTTTTGAGTTTATTTTATTTTTGTTCTTAGTAAGATTAGATTTTTATGATCAAATCCAACCTCTTTTATTATTTTTCACAATTTCAATTAATACGAAATAATCCTAATTTGATTCACACTCCTTGAAGAATCGGCCATTACTTAAAGTTATTAATTATTTATGAGGAAAGTTAAGGAAAAGTATAAATTCTAATTTGACACGTCACAACTAGCGGTTAAATTTTGGCGCCGTTTTCAGAGAGTGACGCGATTGAATTGTGAATTTTGAGTACTAGTTGAAATAATTTTATATTATTTTTCTTTTATATTTACCCCACCTCTCTATTTTTCTTTACTTCTANCTCATTTGTATGGTTACAAGGTGCCAGGCTAAATTTATGTTCAAGCTTTGAAATTTTGACAGGGTATTGAGAAACCCCATACCAGCAAGAAGAACAAGGTTTGGACGTGTTTTATGAGCTTGGTGCAACTTTTTGAGGATGGCAATGTATTGTCATGAATTCTACACCAACCCTGCAGCTTACGAGTATGAGAGGGAGAAACTAGGCCTTTGGAGTGGAAATCAAAATGAGCGATTATGTTCAGTTCCTCGGGGACTGATTTCAAGAGGTCATCAAGTGAGACCATGTGCTCCTATGCAACCATGAGGGTTTCATCTATGATTGCCCAACTTTCTTTTACGGGTTTGTTGCATACGGAGGCATAGAAGGGCCAAGTGGTCGACGAAGCATGAGCAATTCATTGTGACTTCCGATGAGAATGAATATGAATTGAGAGAGTATTCGAACTCTCTCTATGGATACTCCGAGCCATTAGTTGAGAAAGATCATGGTTCGTCGCTCGAGGATATGATGAAGGCATTGACGTTGAATACACTAATATTTCAGCAAGGTTGGAATAGGTTCGAGGAAGATTTGAATGCGCGCATAAGGAATTACATGGACAAATCAGCCAATTAGTGGAACAGATCGACTGATTAGCATTTTGGCTCGAAATGAATACAACGAGTGATATGGGATAACCATACTGGTTCAATTTAACCAGAGAAGTAGCTCGATTGAGCCGGATGGAGCAATGGATCGAACGAAAATTAGAGACTCCACAGGTCGAAGGATCCTCATGTCGAAGAGGACGTTAGAGATACAGAGAGCACCAGCAGTTCGAATTAGGGCCCTCGGATGGCCTAATTGAAATTCGACCTTAAGGTACACTTGGTCGAAGGATCGACCAGACAAGCAGAACATTAGAGCTCGATATTAGGGGTATTCCACCTCGAGGTAACTGGGGTCGGTTTCACGGTTAGATCGACTAATAAGGAAGACTATAGGATAAGAAGGAATATTATTGAGTTAAACCCCCACGTGGATAAGTCCACGTGGCCTAACAAATCGGGCAATTTGATCAGCGTGGGTAGCTCGAGCTGTCTGGGCAGCCAACTCGGGTGGGCTTGGGCAACAAGGGAGTGAGGTATATCCACCATTACATTACATTCTCTATTCTCCATTACTCTACATACACATTACATTTCATCTTCTACGAGTGTTAACTTAAGCATCGAAGGCTCTTCACTAGAAACCCCACCGGTGTGAGAGTTTTTGCAGGTCGTAATGCATTCAGTCGAAAAGGAGCTCGAAGTCAAATCGAATCCAACCGATTGGAGGTCTTTTGCATACCATTTTGGAGTTGTCTGTGGGACTTTGTTCAAAAAGCCAGCAAACACCATAGCCATGACGAGCAAAATTTCTCGAAATAATTTGGAGCAGACTTTTGACGACATGTGGCCGAACACATGCCTGTCCAGAGTAAGCCCACCTCTGGGCTTCTCTGGACCTTCAAACCCTGATGCCTCATCCTACAGGCGTAGGGAGCTCATCGGCGATTCTAACGGTCGGGCTCGAGCAACCCCTATGGGCTCGACCGACTCAAGGAGTGGTGATTCCAGCATAGGTGCAGCCAAATCCGGTCCAACCACCACCAGCAGAGCCATCGAGTCAAGATAAGGATGAATCTAATTAGGATAAAGAGAAAATTAATAATACAAAGCAGATAAGGATTAAACCTCAAGCAGTTGGGAACCCCTGGGTAGATTGACCGGGGGCAACTGGGTAGCTTGGGCAGCTAATCTTGGGCACCAACGTATTCACCCTATAAAAGGGGATGAGGTACAACTGAAATACTCTTTATACTCTTTCATAATCCTCTAGATACATACATCATCTTATTCCCCTTTTCAATAACTGACTTGAGCGTCGTAGTGCTCACGTCGGGAGCTTCTACCGGCCATTGTTTTGCAGGTTATCAGATGTTCTCAGGCGTTCAGAGCTTTACAGTAGCTAGTTCATCTCAAATCTAGGTTCCAACACATCATGTTTGATTTTCTTTAGATCGATCACCTAAATAGAATGTTTTATTTCTAACGTTAGAATTGAACTTGCAATTCGTAACTGTTGTTGAGTTCGATTCGTTAGTAGAAAACGATAGCAAAATAATTGAAAATAACACAACCTAATTAAGTATATCGAGCTTATGAATATATTACTTAGACTAGCCTTTTTCCTATATTCCAAAGCTGCTACTACATTAAATCTAGAGAGCACGTTCTAAATTGTCCAGTAGTAGGTTTAATTGACGAGAGTGTTCCGGTTAAGTATACTATAAGAAAAATTGGGTACCAGAGTGTGTTGTTACTTAGGACTAGTAATTTCGCAAGATCGTAAAACTTGATGTTATAATCAGATAAACTAGTCGAGCGAGGGCATAGATTGAACTGAGAATTAGATTTTTCTATGTCTTTCTTTTGAGTTTATTTTTATTTTCATTCTTAGATTTTATAATCAAATCCAACCTCTTTTATTATTTTCACAATTTCAACTAATACAAAATAATCGTGATTTGTTTCACACTTTTCGCAGGATCGACCATTATTTGTCACTATTACTAGTTAGTAGAAGAAAGTTAAGAAAAAATATAAATTATAATTTGTCGCGTCACGACGCGCGGTCATCTGACCAAATTAGCATTTTTGTTTGTTTGTATGGTCCTCTTTATCATTTTGAGCTCATGTGTCGTTTTTCTAATAATTGTCGTGAAATTGAAACAGACGTGTCCTGAAGTCGTTTATAGTTTTTAATTTCACCTTTCGACATCTCCTTTTCTATGGAAATTGGTTGTAATCGTATTTCGCTGGCTTGATCGCCACTTGTTTGCTTATACGTTTCTATTTATTTTTCATTTATTATAATTTTGTTTATGGTCACTTAATGCGTCTATTCTTGCTCCTTTTTTTCGACTAGATGGAGTTCAAGTCATGACATCAAAGCTTAAAAGTTGTAAGTGTGAAATAGAGTTAGATCTCTTTGTTAAGAGTTAGACATTGAGCTCTTTGTGAGAGTTCAGTGGTTAGATTCGTTGTAAGAGTGAGCTGGGAACTCCTTGTATGTATGCCTTTGGAATTCTTTGTTTGAGTGAGCTTTGATCTCCTTTGCATGTATGCGCCTAGAGCACTTTATTTGAGTGAGACTTTAAGTTTTATCAATGTGTACGTTTGAAACTCTTTGTTTGCTGAGCTTTAGCTCTTTGTACGAGTGAGCTTCAGCTCTTAATACGAGTGAGATTTTTGTGGAGACTACACTTTATGGGAATTATTTGTCAAGTAGTGTTGTTTCCCTACAGCTAACTTTCAACCCTCCAAATTAGCTATACTTTGCTAATCCCTCCCCCACCTTTCAAATATTGAATGATGCGTCACACGTGCTTGTACAGCAAACTTTTNTTCATTTTTGAATATCACATAGTATTTAAATTAGAAATCTTCGTCCACAAACAAAGCATGGAAATTTTCCACTACTAGTATGCTAAATAAGGAAAGTCCAACTATCTCTAAATTTAGTTCCCACTCCCAACATACAAACTCCAATCTCCCACTTACTAAGAATGGGCTTGCAAACCACCGCCCCACCACCGCCAACCACCGTATGTGTGACCGGAGCCGCCGGCTTCATCGGCTCATGGCTGGTCATGAGGCTCCTCGAACGTGGGTATATTGTTCGTGCAACAGTTCGCGATCCCGGTATTAATTAACTAGCTTAATATACACAATTCTAATTTCTTTTTCTCATATAGAAGTAATTAAAGATATTCACTCACCACCATTACTAGAACAAATAGAGTTCATATGTGATTTTATGTTAAATGTGTAGGAAAACATGGTGCATCAAAAATTTGACAAACAAATGAAATGAGTAGTTATTACTAGATGACATGTGATTTATGTAATGTGTAGGGAACATGGAGAAAGTAAAACACCTAATAGAATTGCCAAATGCAAATGCAAACTTGACATTGTGGAAGGCAGACATGAACATACAAGGAAGCTATGATGAAGCAGTCCAAGGTTGTGAAGGGGTGTTTCACATGGCCACACCTATGGATTTTGAATCTAATGATCCTGAGGTATGTCCTTACCAGACAACTTTAATCGACTCTAACGACATTATGTTATCAAACAATGTGTCAAGACACAAGTTAATAGAATACACATTTGTTACAAATCTTTAAGAGCTAGCTAGCTAGTTGGTGCAGTAGATATATACAACACAAATCGACTCCCTCACCATGACTAAATCTGAGAATTACTTCCAAAAATGCGATATTACAGAATGAGGTTATAAAGCCAACAGTAGATGGTATGTTGAGCATAATAAGATCATGTGCCAAAGCCAAAACAGTGAAGAAATTGATCTTCACAAACTCAGCTGGGGCATTGAATGCCGAAGAACACCAAAAACCAGTCTACGACGAAACCAACTGGAGTGACCTGGATTTCATATACTCCAAGAAAATGACTGGATGGGTTAGTTCTTGTCTTCCCTCCCAATTTTCTCGTTCAGACATCATATTTGAATCAGATGATTCTATTCATCGTTTTAAAATTTTCGGTAATCCTCTTTTCGTGCAGATGTATTTTGTGTCCAAGATTTTGGCTGAGAAGGAAGCAATGAAAGCAGCTAAAGAGAGCAACATTAACTTCATAAGCATTATACCAACTTTGGTAGTTGGTCCATTTATCATGCCCACTTTACCACCTAGCTTAATCACTGCACTTTCCCCCATCACTGGTAATTTTCATATGGATAACGTATACGAATATAAAAGGAGGAGTGATTTTGTAAAAAATTGCACGGACTAAAAAATCCCTATGTTTATATTATTTTTAATGACAAAATTGTAATAACTATTAAGTATCTCAATGAATTATAATCACAATTAAATATCTCAATAAAATAGGATTCTAACAAAAACAAAAACTCTCTCAAATTAAAACCTAAACAAAATCGATTTAAATAGGTAAACAAAATATTAACTTATCAATAAATAAAAAAATAATAAAAGAGATGCAAACTATTTCCCTCGTCAATTTCATATGGATAATTCTTTAGAAAAGGGGAAAGTATCCACCACTTGACATATGTAAAAGTATATTTTCACCCTTCACTTAATCTTTAACCAGGAAATGAAGCTCATTACTCTATCATAAAGCAAGGGCAATATGTGCATGTCGATGATTTGTGTGAGGCCCACATTTTATTGTTTGAGCATCCAACAGCACAAGGAAGATACATTTGCTCTTCCGATGACGCAACCATATATGACCTAGCCAACATGATCAGAGAAAAATGGCCGGAATATCACATCCCAACCGAGTAAAACTCTCAATTTACTCTACTTCATCTCCTTCACGTGTTTATGTATGTACACACAAGTATATCCTACACAAGAACACACGGGACACTCTAGCTAGTCGAGTTTGCAGAAATTTTTCTATTGTATGATTAGCCCGTTTTAGTATTAATTGCATGGACAGGTTTGAAGGCATAGACAAGGACATACCATTGGTGCATTTCTCTTCCGAGAAACTGAAGGCCACGGGATTTTCATTCAAGTACACGTTAGAGGACATGTATAGAGGTGCAATCGAGACTTGTAGAGAAAAAGGTTTGCTCCCACATTCAACTCAAATTCACACCTATAGCGATGAGAAGGCCAAACCCAATGATCAAAAAAGAGAGCTAATTCCAACTTTGCAAGAAAACCATTCTAATATCCTAACTAATGGAGACGAGGAGAAGAATCTGCTTCCAAATTCAAAGGGAAAGCAGGTTGGGGAACGAGAGAATGGCCTGCCGTTGGACATTGCATAAAACCAACACTCGGGATCTGGAAGATGGAGATAATTATTTTTTTCGATGTTTTTCACTATGTTTGTTTCTGTGTGAAGAAAGTTTGTGCTTTTCAGTCTCATTGATTGTTGAAAATAAAGAAAACGGGATGTCTTATTAGTGCCCCAAATGTAATATCAACTAAATCACTACTATATAATCCTGGAATTGAAGTTACAGAATTTTTATAGAAACTTTCGCTATTCTGCCGTGTGTTTTCTGAGAGTTTTGTTGACAGCAAACACACACTAAATACTCAAAATCTACGTGAACAGGAATCCGGTATCATGAATTTGACTTGAATATATTGAAACGAAGTTCTTAGAGAATATGCTCCAGATGGGAAATGTATAAATAAAAACATGCATGGGAAGGGAATTACAAGGCATTTCTAATTTTCCATCTCCTCATGTCATAATATTTTGTATTTACTTTTGCCTTCAAATTAACAGACCAAAAGTTTGGTTGACCTGGGTCTGACATGCTCTATTAGTAACTAAGATCAGCTCCAACCGAAAAGCTCATTCTTAGACCCATTTTGCGGTAATTGTCAAATCAAACAGTAATTCTTCTCTAATACTCATTCTCAAACCCAAAAGAACATTCTCAAAATACTCTCACCGCAAGTTTTATAACTTTTCAATACCACTCACATGTTTAACAACTTTACACATTAGACCCAATATTATTCTATATTTTATCTCAAAAAACATATAATAATTTACTATAGATTGATAATTCGTACATATACAAAATATTTGAATACATATTTGTTCAATATGGCAAAATTATATTCTCCATAACTTTGCACTGCTTCTGTTCTTCACGGATATCTGTGGAGTACTTAGACGAGTCTGGAATTACTTTTTTCCAGCTCAACATGTTATTATGACTCATCCTTCAATATGATTCATATGAACAATTTCTTGATTATTTAATAAGCCTGTTTGTATCAACTTGTTTACCTAGAAGGCATCTATGTGATACTTCTTTTGTTTTTGACAGAGTCTAACAGAGATTTAGAGATTTTATCTACTCCTGCTAGAGCATAACATAAGGGTCATCCCAGTGGACAAACATTTGTTGGTGTTCTTGTTCGCACATCTTCAATATTTGAAAATACCTTGTATAATGTACAAAATTTGAACTATTTTCACTATCTACTCTTTAAAATTTTATCCTTCTAAGTTTAATTACCACATAATAAATTGATCTAAGAGTCCATAATAAAACATAGGTTGTGATACCATCTAGGTCACAATTAAATTCAGCTTTTCAAACCTTTTAAAACATAAAATTTTACTAAATATTAGCCATAGCAATTAGGGGTTCGCCACTAACCATTAAAATGACACGTGCCAAGAATTGTATAGGTATGGGAGCCACCCATACGGGTGGCATGAACTTAACCGAATAATTGCGCATCCAAAAGTTCAAACTTCAAAGATCTTTTCAGGCTGTAGTGTGGGATAAGCAATTGAATTACCCTTTTCTTCTTCACTCAATGAGGAAAATAAAGAATGCTCTAAGAAATTTTGATGGGGATCAACATCAAATTTGATCTACCATATTTAGTAGAGCAAACGACTCCAACAAAGAGGTAACCAACCAAGCTCAAAAAAAGTACCCCTCTCCAGTATCCATGGAAGAACAAAAATGTGTCAAAAGTCAAAACATACAGAAGGTACCAATTTCAACATATAAAAATAAAAATAGAAAAATAAATAAATGTTCTTGTGCTACATTCTTTCAGAATATATACAAAAATGGCACAGGTTATAATTTCTAACTGCCACTTCAAAGGTTATGGTCTAGCCACTCTCTGCCTGGCTTTGAATATGCATTTGATCCAATCCAAATTATTTGTTGTAAACACTCATCTTTCAAGCTGACAGCAAACATGCAAATGAAAGTCCGAAATGAAACATCAGAATCTCATAAAAACAAATTAGCAGAAGTTTAATAAGTGTCCCATTAACCAAACAGGACAAGCTGTGCATGAAACCAATGTATTCCAGGATTGATCAGTAGAAACTTCAGTCAGGCCCCAGAATTTATTGGGATCCGCACTCATGGATTTTTCAAGAAACAACAAAATATTTCAAAAATTAAGTTGTGGATTACGAACCATATGCAGCTTTGTTGTTAGCAAGTTCTGGCTGACTCTCGCGAACAGCCCCCAGCAGCGAACCATATGCTTCATCCACACCAGATAACTTCTTCCGGAGCACCTTTTCGAATTCCACCTTGTCGAATTCTTTTGCATTTTCAGAAGTATGAGCTTGCGCCAGGCTGGCATAATTGGTAGCTGACTGTGAGATGAAGGCGATTTCATCATCAGTGAGTGTCCTCAGAAATTTGGCCGGATTTCCTCCCCATATCTGGAATACGGGAAAAACCACGTATTAAAGCAACAGCTTCCACTTGCCACCTTAAATGGGCCCTTCATGTTTGTTTAAACCACCCAAACCGAAATAATATAATTAATTCTTTGCCAGCACTCCGTCATAAAAGATCTTATTGCACAGCAATTAACTGAAGGCTGTTTAAAAAATTAAAATAAAATCCTTCCTCTTCTGGTTCAAAACAACCATGAAAAAAAAACACTTTGTGGATGAACAACTGCATCTTTTTACTTCATGGTTGTATGTAGCAACCAAAATATATAAATTGCTGATCCAGAATGAACATATTTCATGAAACGATGACACCTAGAGATAATTACAGAAACTGCCCTTCAGGTTTAGTCTGATTATAAGAACTTTGGCTGTCTACCAACTCTACTAACATCCCATCAAGGCATCAACTATGTAGCTCCCACACATCAAAAAAATTGGAGTATTGGACAAAGATACACATAAATATAGAAACGATGCGCAAATAACCAAATACGTCCGATACGTCACTTGGGACCGTCTGGGGCAAAAATGGAATATTGATTACACTGGAGTATTTGACTGTTGGACACAGTCGGACAAGGGCGGATGATTAGTCGAGGAAAGTGCTTGCATTTAATCATCTAATGTTACAATTGTGCACGTTTAATTCCTCGCATTTATGCATCTTTCGACTTATTTGATATTATGATCAACTCTCGTGCTTTGATGAGTTTTTGAGTTATTTTCAGTACTTTTGGAGCTATTTCTGGTTGCACGATGAGGTGTGGATGCTCGGAAGGACAAAGAACTGTTACGAGTACAAGGTTGCCCCGTACTGACCCAACTACCCCCGTACTGGCCAAATGGCCCATGCACATAGAGAAGCCCATGCATTTCACGTATATGGCAGGAGAATTAATACAAGTGGGTTGCAATTAATAAAGCTGAAGTGGGCCTGGGTGGACTAAGTCAGAGGAACTAATTGTTGGACTTTGGAGTATAAACAAAAGAAAAGTGACGTGGCCAAAAAGGGATATAGATACATTAGGAGACTTTTGCTTGCAAGGGAAGGATTCATTCTTTGACCTGGCGGCTGAGAGAGGGAAACAGAGGAGAAAAAGATCGCGAGATACAGCAACTGGAAAGAGACATTGGAGAACAGAGAAGATTTATTCTTTTGTTTTTCTTGTTCTTTTCACGTGTAATTAAATTCATGAACATGCTATTGAACGCTATGTGTGAGTACTTCTTTTATTTCTAGATTCGGAGAAGTCGAACCCTACGATTGACGATGTTTGATTAATTTTTATGGTTGATGATTTCAATATCTTTTTGGAATTGCTTGTGTTATTTTGAATAATTAACCATGATGTGTTGAATCTTATTTAGATTGATCACCTAAATTAAGCTTTTCACATCTACTACTGAATTAGACCTTCAATCCGTAATTGTTGTTGTGTTTAGTTTATGAGAGGCTACCGGAAGACGGTAACTACCGGGGATAACACGGCCTATTTAAGTGAACGAACGCGGTTGAGTTCACTACTTAGTCTACCCTATTTTTTTAATTCGTAAAGCGGCTAATTGTATTAAATCCTGAAAACGTTTTTTTGGACTGTACAAAAAGTGAGGTTTAATCGTAGAGCGTCTCGCGGTTAAATTAAAAATAAGGAAAAATTTGGGTAACAGACCGTGTCGTTGTTTAGGGCTGATAATTCCATGAGATAGCGAGATTAGATACTAAAATTGATTAGGCGAGTCAGTTGAGGGTGTAGACGGAACCGTGGACTAGAAACTTCCCCATTTATTTGATTAATCATTTTTATTTGCTGCATTTGATTTCACTCTGTTATTCATAATTCTAGTAGTTAATTAATTCGGATCAATACCCCACTTTTTATTAGTATTTTCATGATTTCAATTAAAGAGAATAATTTCAATTAAATTCCACACTCCCTGTGGGTACGACCCTTAATCACTACTACTGCTAGATGGTAGAAGTCGGTTAAGGAAAATTATTATTATAATTTGACCGCGTCGCGACGCGCAATCAAATTTTGGCGTCGTTGCCGGGGAGTAACGGAATTGAGTTGTTAATTGATTTTCCATTAATTGAAATTAGGTTTAGTTTTCATGATTATTTTCATTTTATTTTCTTACATTCAGTCGAAATTTCCTCCCCCTGTTACTTGGTTTCATTTTATTTCTTTTCATTTTCTGCTTTCAGTAGTACGGGGTTCCCCCATACTCTGCCGAACAGAATACATCGCCCCCATACTCGCTGTGCAGAATAGGTGTGAAACTCGGCTCTATCGACATATCTTGCTGCATTCGGTACTTATAGTTTCAGTTCTTTTTCAAGTGAATGAACACGATGTCTTCTGGATAGAAACCATTGACATACAACCCGAAAATCACAAGGAAGGATAAGGAAAATCGAAGGCTAGCAAGGTTGGCAAAGGAATCGCAAGAAAACCAAGAGCAAGACTATCTGGAGATTGCTGATTACCACAGTTCTTCCGGCGAGCCCGACAACGCTGAATATTCTGATTCTTCGAGTGAGGAAGAAGCAATGGCGGGAGAGGGAGAATGTATGTTAAGGCAACTAGCCAATCCCTAACTTCTTCAACAACCCTTACGCATAACATTTCCGACGGTGAATGACGCCAGCTTAAGTCTGGCATCATACACTTATTGCGGTCATTCAATGGCCTATCAGGCGAGGAACCTCACATGCACCTGAAGGAATTCCCCACTGTCTGTTCCGGAATGAAGCCCACCGGGGTGACCGAGGAACAGATCAAATCTCGGGTGTTTTCATTTTCATTGAAGGACCGAGCTAAAGATTGGCTACACTACCCACCATCGGGGTCCATCACCACGTGGGCTGACATGGAGAAAGCTTTTCTCCAACGGTACTTTCCAGCATCAAGGGTGGCGAATTTGCGTAAGGAGATATGTAGAGCCAAACAGTTGCATGGGGAGATGCTATACGAGTATTAGGAGAGATTCAAGAGACTCATTGCTTGTTGTCTCCAACACCAGATACGGAGCAACTGCTAATCCAGTACTTCTACGAGGAGTTGTCCCTCATGGATAGGAACATGCTCGATGCGGCAAGTGGAGGCACTCTTAGGACAAGACACCGACAGCCGCAAGGGATATGATAGCAAATATAGCAGCGAACTCCCAACAATTTGGCACTCGGGAAGCATCTTTTCAGACAGTGAATGAAGCTGGTATCGGCGCCTTGGAGTCCCAAGTTAAAAAGTTGACGACTTTTGTCCAGAAATCAGCCACAGATGCCTTTCCCAGGATGCAACCTTGCATGTGTTGCGAGACGACTGATCATGTTATGGACAACTGCCCGCTAATCAATGGTGAGGTGGAGGCACACACGAACGCGATAGGGTCCAACAATGAGTCTGGCCGAAACTATGACCCTTTCTTCAACACCTACAATCCCGGTTGGAGAGATCACCCCAATCTTCGATATGGAAACCCTTCAGGGGGAGTGTATGCGGAGAGAGATAATCGGTCAACCCAAATTTTCCAAAGAGGCCAAAACTTTCCACGACAAGAGGGTAACGGTCAACCGAACTCCATGCCACAATCTTCCCTATAAGAGATGATCAAGACGTTTGCAACTAGCTCCAAAATCAATCCCACAACCGCCACATGTCCGTCGGCCGTCACGACCACCGAAGCACCCACTCCGTCACGTGCCTCTCGAACACCGTCGGCACACTCGCCGAATGGGGGCGTACCATTACCCCGATGCTCCGACATTTTTCGATCACACCGTCGAGAGGTCTAAGGGCCAGCGGAAGTCGTCTGAAGTGGCGGCTTCATCGTCACAGCCGAAGGCCTCGCCGGCGATACCGAAACCGACCACCATCGCAAAGCAGTCGGCCAGCACCTCACGATCACCTGCCACCTCCAAACAACCCCCGGTCAAATCGAAACAGCCCCCAGTCAAACCAAAACGGGCCCCAGCCACATCGAAACAGCCCCTCACCAACTCCACCGAGTCACCGGTTGACGAGACCACACCGCCAGCCAACCGAACTCCGTCCCGGACAGCATCTGAGACACCCGTAAAACGAACCCGAGCCTCACCGAGGGCTCGGTAGCACCGAAGGAGGCCCCTGCATCTAAGCGGGCTCGGGCAGGCACATCAAAGGCCCAAGAAGCAGCCCGACATCTGAACCAGCGACACGGCAGCCGCGAGTGTCCCGTCAAGGCTCGTCCTCCTCTGCGTCAAGAGGATCGTCGTCAATTGCACCCCCTCCACCGGTCAGGCCCCGGTACGCCAATATTCATGGGCTCACTTTTGGGAGTGCTATACAATTCTCCATGTACGAGGATGTTATTTCCCGAGAGCTGAAGCCCACCATTTTTATCGATTACGGCGTGTTGGTTGAACTCGGGCTACCACCGAGGTTTACCGTCTCATTGATGTTTTGGGCTGGAGGAAGTTGATGATGGCGGACTGTCCGTCTACGGGGACCTTACATTCAAATTTTTTAGCTCCTTGAGGAAGGAAGACGGGCAGGTCGATTTCCGTCTTGGTGGTGTTGATTATACGTGGCGGGATGATGACTTCGCCGCCGCATTCGGACTGCCCGAGGATACACTCGACGAGGTTGAAGTGGACAACATAGAAGCATGGCTGGCTATCACCAAGGCTACAGGCTTCTCCCGGTCGTCTAAGAGTGCTCAGATTCGCAACCCGGCGTTGCGATACATGCAGCGGATGATAATCTATCTCGTCACCGGTCGGTATGAAAATCGGCACCTAGTCCAGAAAATTGAGCTCAAATTGCTTTGGTGCATGCTAAAGGGGACACGCGTCAAGATTATACCTGCTATCCTCGTCGGACTGTTTCCAGTCAATTCGCGTCGTGACCCCATCGCGGTAAGGGGATTGGTGACATGCTTAGTCGAGCATCTCGGGGTCAATTTGCACGGGAGGAAGGCGATTGAAGGAGTGGCACGCTTTGATCTGCAGATGCTCGAGCAAATTGGCGTCGTGAAGAAAGAGGCCGACAGCCGCTATTGGATGGTGTCGGCAGAGGAGAGGCTGCCTTCGCCCAACCGCTCTTTCGTTGACCTCTCAGTCGCGGCTATTGTAAAGATGTAGCACGCCGCCTTCCCCGAGCAGCCGGAGCAGGTCCCAGAAGAACAGCAACAGACGGAGCAAGTCCCAGCCGAGCAGCCGCAACCGATCTCAGACCACCCAGCAGTCCGGCCATCCGGCTCCGACACATCAGACTCCGACGTCCGCAGGGAGTTGGAGTTGCTGCGGGCTCAAGTCACGGAGTTGGAGCACGAGCAGCAGCGCCTTCGGGATCTCATTTAGGACTTGCTGGACGGGCGGCGTCAGGCGGACCCGGGCCCTTCCCATTAATGCCGCCGACCTTGCCAACCGCACACACTAGAATGCCATCTATGACGAGGGAAGTTCGTAAACCCTCTTTGTTTTTATTTTCTTTTTGTTTGCAATTTTAGTGTCGTGCCGTTGAGGACAATGTCCTTTTGGTAAGTGTGGAGTGGGGCTGGTTGTTGGTTGCCTGTAGGGGCTAGACGTTGGCTGCCCGTATATGTATATGCAGCTGATTGTTGATGTAGTGATTTTGAGATTATCTATGATATTTTGATATGTACATATACGGGAAGCCAACATCCAGCCCCTACAGGCAACCAACAACCAGCCTCACCCCACACTTACAAAAAGGTTGTTGTCCTCAACGACACGACACTAAAATTGCAAACAAAAAGAGAATAAAAACAAAGAGGGTTTACGAACTTCCCTCGTCATAGATGGCATTCCAGTGTGTGCGGTTGGCAAGGTCGGCGGCATTAATGGGAAGGGCCCGGGTCCGCCTGACACCGCCCATCCAGAAAGTCCTAAATGAGATCCCGAAGGCGCTGCTACTCGTGCTCCAACTCCGCGACTTGAGCTCGCAGCAACTACAACTCCCTGCGGACGTCGGAGTCTGATGTGTCGGAGCCGGATGGCCGGACTGCTGGGTGGTCTGAGATCGGTTGCGGCTGCTCGGCTGGGACTTGCTCCGTCTGTTGCTGTTCTTCTGGGACCTGCTCCAGTTGCGACTGTTCTTCTAGGACCTGCTCCGGTTGCGGCTGTTCTTCTAGGACCTGCTCCGGCTGCTCGGGGAAGGCGGCGTGCTACATCTTTACAATAGCCGCGACTGAGAGGTCAACGAAAGAGCGATTGGGCAAAGGCAGCCTCTCCTCTGCTGACACCATCCAATAGCGGGTGTCGGCCTCTTTCTTCACGTCGCCAATTTGCTCCAGCATCTGCAGATCAAAGTGTGTCACTTCTCCAATCGCCTTCCTCCCGTGCAAATTGACCCCGAGATGCTCGACTAAGCATGTCACAAATCCCCTTACCGCGATGGGGTCACGACGCGAATTGACTGGAAATAGTCCGGCGAGGATAGCAGGTATAGTCTTGACGCGTGTCACCAAAGCAATTTGAGCTCAATTTTCTGGACTAGGTGCCGATTTTCATACTGATCGGTGACGAGATAGATTATCATCCGCCGCATGTATCTTAACGCCGGGTTGCGAATCTGAGCACTCTTAGATGACCGGGAGAAGCCTGTAGCCTTGGTGATAGTCAGTCATGCTTCCATGTTGTCCACTTCAACCTCGTCGAGTGTATCCTCGGGCAGTCCGAATGCGGCGGCGAAGTCATCATCCCGCCACGTATAATCAACACCACCAAGACGGAAACCGACCTGCCGTCTTCCTTCCTCAAGGAGCTAAAAAATTAGAATGTAAGGTCCCCATAGACGGGCCAGTCCGCCGTTATCAACTTCCTCCAGCCCAAAACATCAATGAGACGGTAAACCTCGATGTGGCCCGAGTTCAACCAACACGCCGTGGTCGATAAAAATGGTGGGCTTCAGTTCTCGGGAAATCAAATCCTCATACGTGGAGAATTGTATAGCACTCCCAAAAGTGAGCCCATGAATATTGGCGTACCGGGGCCTGACCGGTGGAGGGGATGCAATTGACGACGATCCTCCTGGCGCAGAGGAGGACAAGCCTCGACGGTACACGCACGGCTGCCGTGCCGCTGGTTCAGATGCCGGGGATGCTTCTCGGGCCTTTGATGTGCCTCCTCGAGCCCGCTTAGATGCAGGGGCCTCCTTTGGTGTTCCAAAGCCCTCCGGTGAGGCTCGGGTTCGTTTTACGGGTGTCCTGAATGCTGTTCGAGACGGAGTTCGAGTGGCTGGCGGTGTGGTCTCGTCAGCCGGTGACTCGTTAGAGTTGGTTAGGGGTTGTTTCGATGTGGCCGGGGCCCGTTTCAATTTGACTGAGGGCTGTTTCGATTTGACCGGGGGCTGTTTGGAGGTGGCAGGTGACGGTGAGGTGCTGACCGGCTGCTTTGCGATGGTGGTCGGTTTCGGTATCGTCGGCGAGGCCTTCGGCTATGACGATGAAGCCGCCACTTCAGACGACTTCCGTTGGCCCTTAGACCTCTCGACGGTGAGATCGAAAAATTTCGGAGCATCGGGGTAATGGTACGCCCACGTTCGGCGCGTTTCCGGCGGTGTTCGAGAGGCACGTGAAGGAGTGGGTGCTTCAGTGGTCGTGACGGCCGGCGGACATGTAGCTTAGGTGGCGGTTGTGGGATTGATTTTGGGCCCGACAGCACGGAGGTCTCGGCTGCAACCGACGATTCTTCCAGCGGTAATTGAGTCGAGGGATTGTACGAGCGAGTCGACGGTCACCTTGACCGGCAAGGGCAGCGCCGATTCCGAGGCGGATGGTGGTGGTGGTCCTGCCGATTTCGAAGGCGGCGACGGCAAAGTGGGTGAGTCGGGCGCAGCCGGCATCTCAGTGGTTGTCGATTTGGACACTACCGGCGGCGATGTGGGCTGGGGTTCTGGCAACGTTGCGGACAGTGGCTGTGCGGGCGGTGGTTGAGCGGCGGTCGAAGGTAGAGGTGACAGGTTCGATTGCGGGACCGGTGCGGGCTGCGATGGGTTCACCAATTGCGGGACCGGTGGCGAAATAAAGGGCGAGGTGGCGTTGAGTCGTCGGACCTCGGAGGAGACTTCGATTTGAAAGCCATCTGCTTGATTCTCAGCATGGTTCTCGCTCGATCTCAGATTCTCGACACACGGCAAAGGATTTCTTCAAATTTTCGCTCAAAGAAAAGGACAAAGAAAACCCTTTCTTGCATTGTATCAAAAAGATTCTAGACTGGATTTTCAAATGCCGCACTTCCTCTTTATAAGTCAACGGGAGAAACACAAAAAAACGGCCCACATCTGTTTCTTTAACTGGCCATAATTCATGTGGCCCAATTCCAAATAAAAATTGGCTCCTTGAACGAATACTGTACTTTGCCCACAAAATTCCAACACCTTTTAACTATCATTCTGGGCCACTGAAACTACATCCTCCCACCCATAATGCGAGCAGTATGACTCCCTTTTTGTTGATATCCCATTTGAACCTTTGAATTGAAGCAATCGTGTGAACTCTTTTCTGATATTGAGTGATATTGATATGGAGTTGTAGGTTCAGGCTAAGAGTTTGGAGTCGTTTGTTTGGGTCGGCGGGCGGGGATTTTAAGCTGAATTGGGAAATGGTTATATTAT